TATAAACTATTTAGAAAAATAGGAGAAGGAGTCTTACCAAACTCCTTTTATGACACAAATATGGCACTAATACCTATACCAGGAAGAGCTAAAACAGAGAAAAAAAATTATACATCATTTTCCCTAATGAAGATTGATGCAAAAGTTTTTTTAAGAAAACACTAGCAAGTTAACTACAGCAATATATCATGAGGATTACACACTATGACCAGGTGGGATTTATACCAGGAATGCAGGGTTGGTTCAATATTAAGAAAACTATCAATATAATTGACCATATCAATAACAAAACCAACCAAATCAAAATACTTTTAACAAAATACAGCACCCAGTTCTATTAAAAATACTAGAGAGCACAGGAATAAAGGGAGTGTTCCTTAAAATGATAAGTAGTATTTAAACCATCAGCAAGCAATATATGTAATGGGAATAATCTAGAAGCATTCCCAATAAGATCGGGGTGAAATGAGAATGACTATTATCATCACTAATATTTAATATTATACTAGAAATGTTAGCTTTAGTAATAAGAGAAGAAAAAGAAATTTAAGGAATTAGGATAGGCAGTGAGGAAACAAAGCTATCACTCTTTGTAGTTGATAAGATGGGATATTCAGAGACTCCTAGAGAATCAACTAAAAAACTACTTAAAATTATTAACAACTTCAGCAAAACTGCAGGATATAAAATAAACCCACACAAATCATTAGCATTTCTATGTATTACCAACAAAGCCCAGAATCAAGAGAAAGAAAGAGAAATATAATTTAAAATAACTGTAAACAACATAATATATTTGGACGTCTACCTGCCAAGATAAACCCAGGAACTGCATGGACACAATTACAAAATACTTTTCACACAAATAAATTCAGATCTAAATAATTGGAAAAATATCAATTGTTCATGGGTAAACTAAGCTAATAAAATGACAATTCTACCTAAATTAATTTACTTATTCAGTGCCATACCAATCAAACTACCAAAAAAATTATTTCATAGAGCTAGAAAAAAAAATAACAAAGTTCATCTGGAAAAACAAAAGATCAAGAATATAAAGGGAATTAATGAAAAAAAATGCAATGGAAGGTGGCTTAGCCATGCCAGATCTAAAATTATATTACAAAGCAGTGATCAACAAAACTATTTGGTACTGGCTAAGAAAGAGAAATTCAGTGGAATAGGTTAGGTACACAAGACACAGTAGTAAGTGACTGTAGTAATCTACTGTTTGATGAACCCAAAGACACCAGTTTCTGGGATAAGAACTCACTATTTAAGAAAAAACTGCTGGGAGAACAGGAAAATAGTATGGCAGAAACTAGGCATAGACCAACATCTCACACCCTATACCAAGATAAGGTCAAAATGAGTACATGATTTAGACATAAAAGGTGATACCATAAGCAAATTAGGAGAACAAGGAATAGTTTACCTGTCACATCTATGGAGTAGGGAAGAATTTATGACCAAACAAGAGATAGAGAACATTATGAAGTGCAAAATGGATAATTCAAAATGGATAATTTTGATTACATTAATTTAAAAAGGTTAGGCACATATGTAGCACATTGGATAGAGCACTGCCTGGAGTCAGAGAGAACCTGAGTTCAAATCTGGGTTCAGACACATAACACTCACTAGCTGTGTGACTCTGGGCAAGTCACTTAACCTCAATTGCTTCACCCCTCAAAAAAATTAGAAAGGTTTTGTACAAAGAAAGCCAAGATAAGCAGGAAAGCGGAAAGCTGTGAAACAACTTTTACAAGTGTTTCTGATAAAGGCCTCATTTCTAAAATATATAGAGAACTGAATACAATTTATAAGAATACAGTCATTCCTTAATTGCTAAATGGTCAAAGAATGTGAACAAGCAGTTTCAGATGAAGAAATTAAAACTATCTCTATTCACATGAAAAAATGTTCTAAATTACTTTTGATAAGAGAAATGCTAATTAAAACAATTCTGAGATACCACCTCACATTTATCAGGTTGGCTAATACAACAGAAAAGGAAAATGATAAAAATTGGAAAATATCATTGTTGTTAACTCCTAACTCATGCAAGCTATATGAGTGACCATTTGGGGATAGGAGAAACCTAGAAAGCTCCAAGACCTTACAACTTTTGGGAAGGGAGGAAAGGGCCTAAGAGTTAGAAAGGAATGCGTATTTCAAATTCCTATCCACAGAGAACAATGTAAAAATAGGAATAATGAATGTTTGAAGATCAATGGGGAAAGGGGGAAAAAAAGAGACATTGACATGGAGGTTGGGGGAAAGGGAAGATCTTGGTAGCATCTAGGTGGGATAAGGATCTTCCCAATCTCCTCCTTCAGGGCCCACCAGCACCTGTTATTAAAGCTTTATAAATCATGAATGTTAAAGAAATGAGGTGCTATGGTAGGGAGATCAGAAAGAGTAGATGAAAAGGATTAGTAATACAAATAGCAAGGGCTGATAGTTCTCCACATTACCAAAAGCATATTAATTGGTGACTCTTAGTTTATTGAAGTACTATGAGTGGCCATTTGGTGGAATCAGTTGAGAAGGGGATCAGGGGGACAGAGAGGACCAGGTCCTCATAACTTTTGGGAAGGAAGAATGGACTGAAGATTAAAAAGGAATAGGTGCTCCAGCCTTTCTGGATTCCCATGGGTGGGAATCAGAGTTCAGTGTCCAGAAAGTTAAAAGTAGCAGTATGAGGGCCACAAACTATGACAATTCAGAAATACTATTCTGTTTATTGAAAGTGTAATAATGCATTCTTTATGTTTGGATTTGCCATGGGAAGACATCTCTGACATAAAGACTTGCTCAACCAGAAGAAATAAAAGTTCGTTCATATCTTTGGCATTATTCAAATAATTGCACTATGGATCTACAATGCTATTGAGAGGATAGTATTATTAACAAAGTGAATATTTGTTAAGTGAGAAAGTCCCATAGTTTATAATTATAGTACAGATCTGGAATTCCCAAATTGAGTATTAGGTCACTCCTCTCTCTGACTCATTTCTGTTTCCACTTGGAGATATCACAGCCTTTTGAATTTTTCACATTATATTTATGATTGATAACAATTTGAGAGTGAGTTACGGAAAACAACAAACTTAGAGAAGTATTTGTGAGTATGTGACACTTTGTAGCCTGCTTTACCAGAAAAATATCATGAGATTCTCCTCCACCAGATTGTTATCCCTTTTCTAAAGTCTCAGAACACCCAAGGTCTAATTATTCCCCCAGCCCTAGAGATTTCTTGAGTTTGTAATGTATCCAGAGATGAGACCCCAAGGAGAAACCAAAGCCAATTATAAAGGCCCTTTGTACCCAGCACCCTAAGTCTTGGAGCAACTGAAGTCTGGGGAAAAATCAGAGCAGTGGATAGGAAAAGTCAGTTCTATGTGGTCTAATTTGGGTAATTTTGTCTCATAAGAGAAGCATTCAGGGTTGACGGCTACATACATAAGCCCTACCTCACAGCAACTAGAATAGAAGGCATAGATGGAAAAACTTTGATTTTCTCCTCATGAGAGCCTTGAAAAAAGGAAGAAATATTTCCCATCCTCAGTCAACTGTTTTCTCTCTTGGCCATGTAACTTCATTCAGTTTTGATCTATCACTGTTTTTCATGGTAAGAACAGAATGGGAACCATAGGTTGTTGGGGCCATTGAATGACTCCCAAGGTTAGGGACTATCTTTGCATAAGAATCTCCAGAATAGAAAATGCAGAGATTAAAGTATATTGGGCTATCAGGGTCTGGGATGATTGGCTGTGGTTCTTGAACTTGGAGAATTCGGCAGTTTTTACCTAGCTACACAGATACACACAAAAAAAAATGGAGACTCAAAAAATTGTACCATACTTCATTAAGGAATCACCTCAACTTTTTCTGTGAGGAAATCTTTGTTGATTATGGAAAAGCCAGTGACAGGCTGGGTAGACTCCTTGTCTCGGGGTTATGATGCCCTCGGTCCAAATCTAGCCTCCGCTACACAAGCTCTGCAACTATCAGCAAGTCACTTATCCTCTTTGAGACTCTGTTTCCTTATATGTAAATAGGCATAATAATACCTATAGCACCTATCTAATCGGGTTGTTGAGAGGCTTAATGAGATAATGTAGGGAAAGTGTTTTACAAACTTTTAAGTCCTCTATATGTCAGTTGTCATGATCATTATCCATGATATTGTGATAGAAAAGTCAATACCTGAAGCAGTGTTTATTGGGAATTTTTGAAAATTTGAGTTCCAAGATCAATCCTCCAACTTCTTTTTTTGGATTTAAATTTCCAGGAGTGCCACTTGATAAAGGAGGAACATTTTTGTATCCCTGTGAAGATTACTTTTGTGTCAAGATATGGAAATGATTTTCCACTTAGTGACAGCATATTCTCCACAACTAAGGTCCCCATTTTGTCCTATGCCTTGGCTGTGACTTTCACACAATCATTGTCAAAGTTGTTCTAAAGTCTAGTCTATGACCTTTTTAATTTCTAAGCAGTGCCCAAGGATTTATGACCTTCTCATTCATAGCAATGGTAAAGGAAATCAGCATAAAATAGGGGCAAGGACCCAAGACTGCTAGATTCATTTTGACATTTCTTTTTGACTTTTTTTTAATTTTTTATGATGGACATTGTTTTTCTTCTCCAATTTCAGGTGTTTGTTGAATAATATTCCTTTGATTAATAGCAGTCATTCCATTCCATTCATTTCTTTGAGATACCCTAATTTTATACACCTTTGAGCTCCATTTTACTTGCAATCATGGTGATTAAAAGTTCAGGGTAACATTCTCAGGTAGGAAAAGGCAGACTTTCTTCCAGTGTGTAATAATCTTCCTAGTTGTTGTACTGAAAAGCTTTCAATTAAAAAAAAAAACATAAATTTGTGATCAAAGATGAATTTATATCATGCCAAACCAATTCACCCTTCATCTTTGATATCTGTACTCACCTCCTGCTTTCTTCTGTCTTCCCCCAGGGCTGACGCTCCTATGAAGATAAAGAACTACACAGAGGTGACTGAGTTTATTCTCCTGGGAATCCCTCACACAGAAGGACTGGAGATTATGCTCTTTGCTATCTTCTTATTCATCTATATCTTCACCCTGCTGGGGAACTTGCTCATCCTCTTGGCCATCATCTCCTCCTCTCACCTTCACACACCCATGTATTTTTTCTTGGGACTCTTATCTATTTTTGACATATTTTTTCCTTCAGTGAGCTCCCCCAAATTGCTGGTCTTTCTCTCTGGAAATAGCCGAGCCATCTCTTATAGGGGATGTGCCTCCCAGCTCTTCTTCCATCATTTTTTGGGGTGCACTGAAGGCATTCTATACTCTGTGATGTCCTATGACCGTTTTGTTGCCATCTGTCATCCACTGCGCTATGTGTGGTCCTTGCCACATGTACCTCACTGATAGGTTGTATCCATGCCACTATACTGACATCACTCACTTTCCAGTTGCCTTACTGTGGCCCTAATGAAGTAGACTATTACTTATGTGACATTCCTGTTGTCCTACCTTTGGCCTGTGCTGACAGCTCACTGGCCCAGAGGGTGGGTTTCACTAATGTTGGCCTTTTGGCTTTGACATTACTTTTCACTATTATTATCTCCTATACCCGCATAGGGATAGCCATTTTGAGAATCTGTTCAGCTGAAGGCAGGAGCAAAGCTTTCTCTACCTGCAGTGCCCACCTCATTGCCATCATGTGTGCCTATGGACCAATTATCATCATCTATTTTCAGTCCACACCCAACCCTTTGCTTGGTGCTGTGGTTCAAATTCTGAATAACATTGTCTCACCTATGCTGAACTCCTTAATCTATTCTCTGAGAAACAAGGAAATAAAAAGAGCCTTGAAGAGAGTTTTATGTGGGGCAAGACTAACTGCAGAGACCTAAATTAGGAGGCCTCAATCTCCCTGGTCAGTCCATTTCCATCTTTGTGTGGAAACTGTTGATAAGATTCCTCTCCTTCATTGAATAGTAGGCATGTCTTTGCCTTGTCTCTGTGCATCATTCTATTTTTTCCGTATGGTGTATAGAACCAGATACTAGGCCAATCTGAGAAAAACAGCTAGTTGAGTTCTTTTTTCTCTTAAAGGGCTTTTCTGTTAGGACTCATTTTTATTTTGGAATTCATGAAGTATCTGTGATAGGAAGGCGGTGCTTGTCTATTACTTCATTTGAAATAATTATCATTAAGAGAAATTCATACTCGAATGTACCTGTCTTTCTCATGATAGTAGTTTTGAAGAGCATTTCTTTGGGGGAACCAAGGGACAGTTTAGACATATGATTTCATTGGTGTAGAGAGTTACTAAAGAGTTCCCCTTTTCCCACTGTTTTAAATCACCAAACCCCTTGACATCATCTCGCATCGACTCCCCCTTTATTCTAGTCTCTAATGAAAAGATGGCACTTCTCCTCACCAAGGCTTTCTACTAGTACCTTTGATCTCATCCAATCCTCTCTTTTTTCTTCTGGCAGATTATCCTTTCTTGCTAATCTTCAGTCTTTGTCTGCTGTCTCAATCTCTGATGCCTCCACCTCTGCAAAAAAAAAATGCCCTTCTCCCCTAATCTTTAAAAAAATCAGTTTATTTGATCTAACTATAACCTCAAGATTTATCCTTGACTCTCCTCCCTGGACAGTTAAATTCCTATAAAAAGCTATCTACATTACCTCTCTCACCTCTCAAACCCTTACAAACTGACTTCTAATCTCATTATTCAACTGCAATGTCTCTAAAATTATAAATGATCTATTTGTTAATTGCCCAATCCAATGGTCTTATCTCAGTCCTCATTCTTAAACCCTGCATCATCCTACATTGTTGAAGACCTCTTCTCCCTGGATATTTTCTCCTCTTTGGTTTTCATGACACTTTTCTCTTCTGATTCTTTTCCTATCTATCCCTTCCTCCCTCTTTTCTGGTCTATCATTCCTACCTTTCCCACTAACTATGGATATACCTCAAGTCTCTATCCTGGGATCTCTTCTCTCTATTCTCTTTCCTCTAACTTCATCAGTTCCTATGTATTGAATTATCATCTCTACACATATAACTCCTAGATCTAAATATCTAACTCTAAACTCTCTCCTGAACTCCAGCATTTGAGTCATACCCTGTCCCTCATTCCTGGAATGCACTCATTCCTCACTTCTACCTCTTAGAATCCCTGGTTTCTTTCAAAATCAGTTCAAAATATATTTCCTAGTTCAATCCTTCCCTGATCCTCCTCACCTCTAGGTCTTAGTGCATCTCTCTCACCCCTGGAATTATCTTGTATTTCTTCTGTGTGTATCTCAGATATGCTTGTCATTGTACATGGTGTTTCCTCTGTTGAATGTAACCGCTCTGCAGGTAGAGATTGTTTCATTTTTGTCTTTGTAGCCCTAGCATTCAATGTTTGTTGATTGATTTACTAATTGATTTACTAGAAACTCTCTCCACAAATGTAGATCTCCAACCTATTGGTAATGTTTCTGCCTTAGCAAGATGCCTTTAGCACAGAAAGGATAAATGACAACCCTCAAAACAGAGCCAGTGTGGGTCAAAGACATGACTTTATCTCAGGTCTTCATGACTCTACAAATTACTCATTACTCTTCTTATCCACAACAAAAGTGGGACAATTGATGATTTGGGGAAATGTATGAAAGAAAGCATTGTCAATTTTCTTTTGACTTGCCTATAGTCAAGAATGAGAAATAAGATTCTGGGTGAAGGACCTGATTCATTTCCTTGTTAGTCAGGGTAAGGCAACATATATAACAGTCTTTTTTGAGGAGTTGAGCAGCAGATTTTTGGTTCATGTAGATGCTCCATAAAAAATAATTTTTGTTTCTTCATACAATTCTTTTCTCATGAGGTGAAGATAATCATAGTGGGATGATAACCTTCCAACTTTTGATGTGGGAGAAATGTCTTCTGTTTAGTTTGTATGGTTCATGTCATTATTGCCAAATAAATCTATTACAATATCAAAATCATAGAGGTAAAAACTTGGATCTTATTATGTTTAAGTATAGGCTCAGGAGGTAGAAAAATAATATTGAACAAAGATTAGGATTTTAATGAAGCTTTGTATACATAAAATGTTAGAGAGACAGAGAAATAATTTTGTACATACAACAATCTAGTACTTCCTCATAACCTATAAAAATAAGAAATACAGATAAACAATTCCATACTTCTTTTAATGTCAAGGTTGAACAAATTAGTAAACAGATTAAAATACAGATTTAAACACTGAGTTTACAAAATCTTACATTAACAGAATTACAAAGCTACATTTTAAAGAAGTCACAATGGGTTAATTGAGGGAAAGAATGTATATGTCATAAAGATAACCAAAAGGCTTGGAATAGGGAAATCCTTCCTCAAATAGCTAAGTTGGGAAGTTCACATTCCTCTTTGGCTTCTTACCTGAGGAAAATCAAAAAGTCTTCCCTTACTACTATTATTCCATGAGTTATATTTTAGCCAGGTGAGGTTAATATTAATAGAAGACAGGCTTTAGCTAACCAAATGTTATAAGAGGAATAGAATAACAAAATTGAATAGAAGGAAATCAAAAATAAAAAAAAATTATCATCACACTTTCATCTTTTACAATGAGCATTCTAAAAGTTTAAACATCTGGAATTTGGTTGTATTGTGTGTTTAGTTGGCAGTCTATTTATTATGTGTTTAATTGGCAGCCTATCTTAATTTTCTTTTTTTTTCAGTTCTAGGTTTATTCTCTTGGAGAAAATCCATGAAATAATTATTAGATATGTTCTGTGTCCTAGCCTATACCTTTAGTCTTCTTTTTCCACACCCTTAGCAATCTCCTGTGTGGGTTCACTTTCAAGCAAAGTGCTCAAGTTAGTACTACCAAGAAATATATTGGCTATATGTATCTTGGTCCAGGGCTGTGCTGGTAGATGTTTAAGGAATGATTCTATGGGGAAAAAATTTATTTACAACACATGTATTTTTCTATCACTTTTATAAGTCTATACAATCAACAAAACAATAAACCAAGCCCTAATTCATGCATCTATCAATTTCCTGTGTCAGAGGTCATCTTCTTGAACATGAACCTGAATAAGAATCCTGTCAATCACATTTGTGACAGGTGGATATGAAGTCTTTCCTTGAAAAATTCTAATGCAAGGAAACCTATTATTTTTCAAGATAGCTGATTCCTTTTGTATATAGCTCTAATTGTTCTGAAATTTTCATTTGTACCAAACTATTATTTGCCTCTCTGAAATTTCTATTCATTCTTCCTAGTTCTTCCTTCTATGGTCAAATAGCACAAAGTTAGCTCTCCATTGTTGGATTGTACTCCCTTTTCATATTTATGTGTCAGTATTCCTAACTTCCTTTAAGATTCAGCTTAGGTACTATCTCTTACATAAGATCTTTGCTGTTCCTCCATGTGCACCACAGATGTGCTATAATCAGCTTGGACTGGCTAATGAGAACTGATTGATAAATTTTCTGTGTGAGCATTTACACCTTGGAAATCATAAATCACTATAAAACAGAGTTTGAGTTATTGTTTTGTTGATTGTTTAGACTTAAGAAAGTGATAAAGAAAATCTCAATAATCCTCATAAAATTAAAGTGTCATGTACATCAGAGAGGTGGTTGGTAAATATTTGTGACCATACTCCTGGATATCTCCCTTCTGAAATAAAATTGTATTCATTTGATATATACTGTATTTATTCATTACTGTACCTTATTTATCCTTCAGTAGAATGTAAATTCCTTGAGGATAAGGAATGTTTTGTTTTTCCTTTGTACCATTCAGTGTCTAATGATGTACTTTGTTCATAATAAGTGCTTAATGAATGCTTGTTGAATTGAATCCTTTTCCAACCATCATCATCATAGCTAGCATTTATAGAGCAACTTAAGGCTTGCAAAGCACTTTACAAATATTATCTTGTTCAATTATCATAACAACCCTGGAGATAGGTGTGCTATTACTTTCCCCATTTTGCAAATGAGGACATGGAGGCAGACAGAAGCTCTAACTTAACTTGTGACTGTAGCTACTTATGGTCCCTGAACCTTCTTCTGTCCTTATGACTAATTCCACAGTAGGAGATCCTCAACAGCCTTGACCACATTTTTGAGTTACTATTATAGCATGGTAGCATCCTTCTCCAGACCATTCCATTTCATCCTGTGGAAACATAGTGTTACTTCCAGATTTCACAAACAGTCTCCTTATCTATCTTGGGCTACAATTCAATTCAAAGTAGGAAACATTAATCTCTTATTATGTACAAGGCATTGGGGAGATTTTATATATATGTGTGTATACACACACATACACACACATGTATGTATATACATATACACATACATACATACACACATACATGCATATATACATATACATATATACATATACATATACAAATATCCCTTGATCTTTGTCCTACATGCTTGGAATTTATTCTCTTTTCTCCTATGTCTCCTAAAATCTTGAGCTTCCTTCAAGTCTCTACTCAGCTACCACCTCTTTTTTATTTATTTTTTTATTTATGGAATAAAACCAGCATTTCCATAACATAGTATATAATAAACAAAATTATTATTGCACGTGAAACTGCAAATCTATTATGTATGATTTACTTTTAAAAGTACAACAATTATCATGTAAATTTCTTTTTTTCTTTTTATTTCTTCCTTCTCCCCACCATTCCTTACAGATGGCCACCATTAGATACAAATACATATATGTATGTATATATATATATATATAATATATACATAATTATTCTATACATCTACATTTTAGTTCTTCCTCTAGATGCAGATAGCATCTTTCTTCATTTCTAAAATTTTTATTATTGATATAATGAATTGTGTTAATACCCTTCCTTATGTTAAA